TGTGGAAAAACTGCTAAAAAACGGCGGAAAGTATCCCTACTTTATACTCCCCATTCCCTTGTTTACTCGAGCGTGAGTAAGTTGGATCACAGAGGAGCAGATGGCGCCAGTGTGCTTCCTTGATCATATCTATCCTTCCCTGGTTAACAATAGGAACAGCAATCTGAGCCTCGCCCTGCCTCTCACTTTTACTGTACAGTCTTTTTTATACCTTTTATACTTTACTGTCTTTTCTTGTTCTCCCCTTCACCCCCTTACCGGGACAAAGTATCTTATTCTTGTATTGTCTTGTTATTCCTATACAGTCGTGGGAGCACCTGAACACATCCTCCCTTCCCCTACTCCCCGATTCTCACAAAGTCCTGGTGCTGGTCCCCTTCAGCGTCACCTCTACACTATAACACACGTAAAAAATAATAAATATAGATAAATAACTAAATAAATAAACAAATAGATGTTCAAAATCTCGGTATTATTGTCTTTTCGCACCCGACATTCCTACCCCGTGTCTATCATCATATTCGAATAAGATGTCTAATTATAAGATAATTTTCTTCTATTACATTACCGTCGCAAATGTATTATAACGGAGATAGCTCATCCAAAAATTTCTCTATTTTCTTCCATTAATCTTCCGCCATTATCGCCTACCTCACCTCCCACACTGCCTGTCTCCTTCATAAATCACCACGTGCATGAGTTCCTTTACGCGTCACGTGGCCAATCATTAGCGTTTTGGGGGAGAACCAATTAAAATGATTTGTGGTTTAATTCGAGGTATGTTTGGCCCAATTAAATTCGATTTTTATTTTGGGTCTCTTATATTTCCAAATTCAAATACATTTCCGACCATGGAAGTCTGCGATGGGTGTCACTTCAATTATATGGAGTTGATTGCGAGTTTTGGGGGAAAAAAACCAAGAAACTATAGCATTTTTTCGATCTCATGGTGTTCTCCCGACCTCAGTAAGAACGAATGTAAATATCGTCAAGACCAACATATGTGGCATTGTGATAACTCCTCCCTTATCCCAAAGACAAAGAAGAGACGGCCAATAAGGTAAGAAATAAGTGATTCCATCAATTGGTGAGAGTCAGTTACGTTAGGTTAGGTCAGGTTTATGTTTTTTTTTTTTGTATTCGCTTAGCCATTTTTTTCGGAAAACACCCCGCGAAAAAAAAAAAACGATAAAAAAACGGCCATTTTCCGACGGAACTGAAGGTCATACTCGGTCTAAACACACATAAATACACTAGAGAAATATACAAATTTACCAAAATCTCATCATCATAATACAGTATGTATAATCCACAACAACAACAGCAGAATTATTAACATGTTTTGGAATATAAGTCAAGTCGTATTTATTTTGCAATATATTTTCTCTAAATCGATAGAGATAAATATTAGGTCGTATATTACAGTGGTCTGACGTATACTCTCTGGTGGTGCTGAAGGAGGTGGTTCTGGCAACAGTTGATGTATGAATAACAATAAAAACTTACCTTCTCACATTCACCACATTTCAACATTTTCTGACCCTGAGATTAGTATCCGTTGATTTATTTATAGCTAGACATACAAACATATACTGTATATAGAAATAGTCTCGAAAATTTTACAACGAGAAGAATATAAAGTTCAGTACCTATTTTACATATAATGAAATAGAAAATATTGCTTTGAATATTATTTCAAAACTCGTATCAATAACACGAGTGAGTATAAATAGCTAATTCTAGAGTACTGTCGTCTTTAAGAACTCTGTTGAAAAATATATTGTGTATGTTGTCTTTAAAACGTTCGCTAAGTTACAAGTTCTACACTAGACAGTATTTATTAAGAATTAGGTAAAATGGTTTACGTATGGTGTATTTTATCGTAATTTTTTTCCCAAGTTGTTTCTGGACACAAAAAAAATGTCACCAAAGCTGTCATCATCTTAAAGCATGTCATCATTGGCTGTCATCACCTGTCATGCCATCACTCGCTCATCACCTGGCACGTCATCACTCATAGTCATCACCTGTCACGCCATCACTCACTGTCATCACTTCACCTACACGTCCTCATGGCTCTCAACATCTCTTTTCATATTATTTCAATTTTCTTTAAGTAACATGGAAGGTCAGCGCTTCACCATACAATCTAGTGTGACGAGCCAAGCGTGACAACCCCCTCGTGTTCCTGAAAGAGTCTCCTTGTTAAATTTCTTAGCAGATGAGGAGCCGCTGCCCTGAGAAAGAATGGAGTGGTGGTGGGGGGCTGTACAATGGTGTGTGGGTTGTGGAGTGGGTTTTTTTTCTATAGTGGAGTGGGTTATCTAGTGTTGGAGTGGTGGAGAGGTAAAACAAAATACTACAATGTTTATTTCCAGTCCTGAAATCCACAAAAACGTTTATTAATTCCACTTCAACGTTTATTTCCAATCCTGAAACTCACCAAAACGTTTATTATTTCCACTACAGCGTTCATTTCCAACTTTGAAACCCGCCAAAATGTTTATAATTTCCACTACCACATAAGTTTATCTCCACCGCTGAAGATACAACCACAGATCACATTCCCACTAGCGTGTGTAACTTGCCTACAGGAGACTGACGCTGTAATACCCGGTAAATGATTCCTGGGGCACTATGTTATTCCTCTCACCCAGTGGCGACAGGTAATGATGGGGAGGCGGGACCAGGTGTACACCCAAGATGTGATCTGTCAAGGGGAACGTATTTACTGCCTTGAGGTGTTGTGGATGCTTCTTGTGGGGGTGGATGCTGTTGTGGTATGGTTACTGGTCAGTGTTGTGGTGTGGTCAGTGTTATGGTGTGGCCTTATGGTGTTTAGCCAGTGTTGTAGTGTGGCCTGTGATGTGGTCTGTTGTGATGTGGTCAGTGTTATGGTGTGGCCTTATGGTGTTTAGCCAGTGTTGTAGTGTGGCCTGTGTTGTGGTCTGTTGTGATGTGGTCGCTGTTGTGGTGTGGCTAGCGTTGTATATATTAATCCAATCATATCTGCAGGATTTAGCTATATATTTGATCTTTGTTGTTGACCCTCTGTAACGCCAGCTGTCTCTCACTCCTTACCTCCCTCCGAATGACGTCATTGTAGGAGTGAGGAGTTATTTAATTACATCTGTTTCTCCCTGCCGAGGTTCACTGTAATGTTATACCTGAATGTGACGGTCTTGGTAATTAACGCAGGTGGCGATACTCTCCTGATGCTGGTTAGTTACACATCAGCACGCGATTTTCACTCTCTCTCCTCCTCCTCCTTAACACACTGTGGTTATTGTCATGATGTGTTTGGGATGTGCGTCTGTGTGTTTTCTGGAGTTGTTTACATGTAGAATATATACACATTTTCTGTTTCCTTGGTATACGGGTGTTTTAATGTATGCAATAGGATACGGGTTTAGTATTTACTCCCAGTATAGTAACGCTTGCGTCAGTTCAAATGTTGGTGTTGCATTGTCAGTCATTCTTAAAATATGTGTAATAATGCGTGTTTATCTTTGGAAATTAACCCTAACCTAACCTAATCTAACCTAACCTAATCTAACCTAACCTAATCTAATCTAACCTAATCCCATTTTAAAGGACATAAAATATGGTAAAATAATACAGGTTCGCTGCTCACTGGCGTCCTCCCCAGCTGTGCCCACTAGAAGGTAATTACTAGCCTTGTTACACGCTTAAAGACCTTTGTTGTAGTTATGTGTGGGTGTGAGGTGAGTGGTGTGGGACAGCCTAGCATAGTCAGGGTTATACCAGCGTTCGAGCCTCTCTGACCATGCCTCGTTGATTACCACTAGTGCACTGGTTGTGTGTGTGTGTGTGTGTGTGTGTGTGTGTGTGTGTGTGTGTGTGTGTGTGTGTGCTGGTCTGTACCGCGAATGTGAATATGTATACAAATCTGTTTACTTGTATGATTGTATAGTTATCGATCTGTCTGTCTCTTTCGATGTATATTCCAATCAATGTATCTATGTATATACCTTATACGCATATACATTTTACTTAGTTCTGCAATCATAATACAGTATATCCATTCACGTCAATAACTTGCGCCTTAAAGTTTGTCACCATCATCACACTCACTAGCACCAGAGGACAGGTGTCGGGGGGGTGTAACGCCTCGTCAACACCTGCGGCGACAAGTTTCCCGACAAATGATAACACACTTTTTTCTACCCTCAGACCCGTGAAGTTTATACATGTCAAAACCCGATAACAACTTTCTGGGTCTCCGATAACGTTATGTTGGTCGTATAGGAGGCCTGTGTGAGTGTCAGGGAGAGGTTGTCTTTCTTTTAGGTCTAGTTGTTGGTGTAATGAAAAGAAACGTGTGAGGGCGCAATGTAAGACTGTGTGGGTGTGTGTGTGTGTGTGTGTCTCTCATGCACCACCTCCCCCTCCATCATTGCGTCTCACCCCAGTTAATATTATAGCTAACCCTACACTCATTCACATCTGCTCAAAGTTTCAATGAGTAGTGTTGGGCTGTCCATAATACCACCATTATCACCACTACTACCACCGTCATTACCAACACCACTATCACTACCACTACCATCACCACTATCACAACCACTACCATCACCACTACTGCTATCACCACCAACACCACCCAGACTCCGCTATACATTAAGGATGGCCTCCTCCTCCACATCCATCTACTCATGTAAAAAATGTAAGAGTTGCCTATTCCTCTAACTCCCTGCCTCCTCCCGCACCTTCAGCCGCCTCCTCCCGCACCTTCAGCCGCCTCCTCCCTGCCTCTCATCTCACACCTGCCCTCTTGCACACACACACACCCAAGAAACATCACCGTGTTAACTTGAACCCCTGATATGACCCCTTAACCATAGGCACACCAGTCTGTACTTAACGTTACGCCTTCATCCCATCTCTCTCATTCGTTCTCTCTTCATCATCAAGTTATATGGGAAGCAGCGTCCCTTTAGTGTACTGTGTGTTGCTCTGATACTCAACAACCCGGCACCATGACGCTCTCACAGGACTCACAGTACATACATACGTTTATCACCTAAGCATTACGTCAAGTACTTGTCTATGGGTTTAAATATGATTAACAGAGTAACAGACAACCCAATTATCTTCACGGAGACAATAATTGACACGAGACAGTAACAGACAGAGACAGGAAGACAGATATAGACATCCCCATCACCAGGTCCTAACAGAGACAATAATTGACACGAGACAGTAACAGACAGAGACAGGAAGACAGATATAGACATCCCCATCACCAGGTCCTTACAGAGACAATAACAAACGTGAGACAGTAACAGACAGAAACAATATGACAGATAACACCAGGTCCTGACAGAGATAGTAACAAGAGAGGTGCATGGGTCGTCGTCATCGTGTAGGCTAATCTCTGCTCCGCCAACACCTGCACCAAGCTCATGTAATGGAATATATTAATGTGTTACCTACATATTCATGATGATAGAGTCAACCAGAGAAGCGTTGTATTATCCACAACGTCTCAGTCACTTTACTTTCGTGTGAGCATTATCTTACATATCAACTTTACCAGCGACAGTCTATTAAGGAATTCTAATCTGAGAAATGAATAGATTTTATTACAAATTAGGAGAAATAATACTCACCAGGGGTCAGGTAATAGTTCATTGTTTATTATTAAGAAACATGAAAATCAGACAAGGCATTGAACAGCTAGCGTCGTCTCCTTGTGTTTAGATTAGCCTAGTGATACGATTTTAGAACAGGGGGAGGGGGGGGGGGAATTATTATCCGCGTGCATCAATCACCTTGTAACTCTTTTTGTCTACCTTTGTTAAATTATATAAATGTATAAGCACAGTTTTCTATGCTATATTACTAAAACGTCTTTTATTATGGTAGTGAATTATGACAAAATTATCATGAGGGAATGTGTTGCGTACAGGCAGAGACTACACGAAATTACAATGAAACGATCATAATTATAAAGGCGCGTTGATGGAGCTTAGGTTAAGTTTCACTGTAATTATTAATGTTACTTTTAGTCGTTATTTTCCTGTTTTTGTTAATTTCAACCAGTTAGGTGCAGTTTCATATCTTCTCTTTGTCTCACCTAGTAAACACCCTAACCTAACCTAACCTAACCTAACCTAACCTAACCCCTGTATTTATCGTTAGGGTGAAATAAGTTAAGATTCCTAATCATCTAAGGAATAATTATTTGTACATAATATTTTTTTTAGTATTGTATTTGTCTTATTTTCGTTGTAATTTAGATTAAAGTACCTAAATCCATATATCTTCCTCTACATCTACGTCAGTTTGTATTAATGGGTAAAGCTGAGGACGTGACCCAGAGGTTAAGAAAACTGGGATGGGATCAAAAGCTGTTGTCCCTGGAACGATACAGAATCTAGGAGGTCTGGTGAGAACAGCTCAAAACCCCCTGAATGGATGGCCCTGATCACCAGTCTTCATACATAACCTAAGCCAACAATCTCATCGAACTCAACTTAATCTAACCTAACCCAGCTTAATCAAATCTAACCCAATTTAACTTAACTTAACCTAACCCAACTTAAGAGCAGAAATTTGAATCGTGAATTATATATCCCCGGTGTCAAAGCTGTCACAGTAGACTAGTGTTATTGGGTCCGTCTATATGCCTTGACTGGGTTCCTACACTAGCCACCACGACCGTCTAAAAATACCACGTTGATTAAGCCACAAATCCCGACAATACTATCTCCCCATTATTGGATTTAAGTGAGCTCCATATTCTCCCCCATTAAATGATGTAAATCCGCGCCATAATCTCACCATTAAAGGATTTAAATCGGTGTATCCCCTGCTTGAGTGGGTCCTCCTTTCACAGTTTGCTTATACCACCAGGACCGCCTCGCAACACCCGCCTCCCTCCCCCCTCCCCCCACCCTCTATCTTGCTCGTAAAAGAAAACGGAGACTTTGTAAATGATTCACTGAGAGGAGAAACGTAAGTGATATGTTTGTAAATAATTCACCAGTAAAAGAACATTCGGTTAATATCGGTGTTTTGACCTTATCGCCATGACCCTGACATACCGTAAAGTTCATCACTTTGTATGGTAGAGGAGGATAACTGAAACGAAAATAGAACATAAGGTTAGTTTGATTTTTTTTTACTGAGGTGTTGGAAAATGCTCCGTCATTCCCGCCAGTTAAAAGCTAATCAGATTATCATAACGCCTCTAACGACTCCAGCCAGGCCATTCATGATCACCCCACAGACCCTCCCACGCTACTGGCACCACGCACGCCTCTAAGCCCCGCATACTGGCACCACGCACGTCTCTATCATCTCCCACTCCTCCAGACTCACGCCCCTAGACCCTCCCACGCTACTGGCACCACCCACTCCTCTAGCACCTCCCACGCCTCCAGACTCACGCCCCTAGACCCTCCCGCTACTAGCATCTCCCACGCCCCCAGACCCTCCCCACGCCCCAGACCACCTCCCACTTCCCCAGGCCTCCCGCCCCCAGACCCTTCCACGCTACTGGCACCACCCACGCCTCCTGGCATCTCCATGCCTCAGACCCTCCCGCCTCCAGACCCTACGCCCTCGGACATCCACCCCCAGACCTCCCGCCCCAGGTCTCCACGCTACTGGCACCACCTACACCTCTAGCATCTCCCATGCCTCCAGATCCTCCACGCCTCCAGACCTACGCCCTCAGACCATCCCGCCCCCCAGGCCACTCCCACGTCCCAGATTCTCCCACGCTACTGGCACCACCCACGCCTCCCTAGCATCTCCCATGCCTCCAGACCCTCCACGCCTCAGACTACGCCCTCAGACCATCCCACGCCCCCAGACCCTCCCACGCCCCCAGGCCTCCACGCTACTGGCACCACCACGCCTCTAGCATCTCCCATGCCTCCAGACCCTCCCGCCTCCAGACCTACGCCCTCAGACCATCCCACGCCCCAGACCCTCCCGCCCCAGATTCTCCCACGCTACTGGCACCACCACACCTCTAGCATCTCCCATGCCTCCAGACCCTCCCACGCCTCCAGACCTACGCCCTCAGACCATCCCACGCCCCCAGACCCTCCCATGCCCCCAGGTCCTCCCACGCTACTGGCACCACCTACACCTCCAGCACCTCTCACGACACTAGTACCTCCTACACCACCACCAGGCAACTTGATCACCTGTGTGTCCCGCGTGTACCTGACCCGCCCTCTACAACCTCCTCAAAATTAATGTCCTGTCAGCAGTGAAGCAAAATTTGGTGCCAGTTAGGATGATACTGATGGGGGAGGAGATGACACTTGGTGGCACTGGTGGCACTGAGGGGGAGGAAGGGTGGCTCTGGGGGGGAGGTACTAGTGGGAACCTTGGTAAGCGCTGGTGGGAGGAACACAAGGATATCATCTTTATATAGGAACTCACTGATGCTTCAAACAGGATACCATGACCACCTTGAGATTTTAACATTATCTGGTTTTAGTCATTGTGAATGTCGGAGAAGAGTCGATTATGAGGCTGCAGTCATAGTTGGATTGGTAGCCTCTCAATAACACAGCTGAGTTCATAATAGTTCTCAAATAGGTCATCAGGTCGTGGGTAATAATATAATTGGTAATCCCGAGGGAAATCAATAGCGGAGATCGGTGTCCTCAAGACGTAACTCAGATCTGTGTAAATTATAATCACGGTTAATCAACACTCATGGCCTTAATTTAACCTCCATGTGGTTTTTTTTAATGATAAAATATTAATTTGTTGCGTGTTATTAGCATTGGGGAGTCGTATTAATGGTGCAAAGGTCGTACGGCGTGTGCTTATGTGGGCAAAGAAGGTGTTTATATTGTCTAGTGGCCTAAAAGTCAGTCATGCCAACTTTGGATCACTGAACTTAATTGTATACAAAAAATCATGTATTTGTTTAAGCTCAGGGATTGAAAGTTTAGTTGCTGTTTGTTTTTGTTTGATTCTATGCAAGGAAAAAGATACTTGAATTGTACAGAAAAAGACAAATGAGATACTTTGGTCATATAATTAAGGATGAGGGGATAATAACAGAAATATTAATGGGCAAAGTTGAGGGTTGGAGGGCCCGGGGAAGGCAGAGACTAGGAGGGATGACTGGTATAAAAAGCGAGTCCCAGAGATAAGCCCGAGAACGTTTAGAGTGGAGGATTGTGGTCACCAACCCTCTTATATGGGGAGGGTACTGTGAATGACCGAGGCGATCTTGAGGAAGGACTCGGAAAGGAAAACTCGGGCAACAGTGTGGGTATGATTTGCCAGCCCGAGTGATACCTACTACTACTACTACTACTTTTTTTTTTTAACGTGGCCTCCAGCCTCCCCCAATAGCCACACCTTCGCCACCATTTATTTACCTTAATATTAAATATCCTAATACATAAGAAACTATCCTATCTGTGTTAAATTAGTTGAGCCGCAGATCTATGCGGCATTCGGTGACTGTAGCCTCATAGTCGATATCTGCAGCAGTTGTCGGAGTAGGGGCAGAAGCTCTCGTTCCCCTGAGGCAGAGCAAAGCCGACCGAAGGAGAGAGAAGGACAGTCGACATCTCATCCGAGCTGTAACATAACTACGGGCTGCTGCTTCTTCGGAGATCCAAACAAGTCTGGCGTGAAACATCTTGCGCAGGCCCATCCACCAGAGGTTGTGAACACTAGAGGAGTGAAGCTGTCTTGATCCAACGTTTTAATTCTCTCCCATGCCTTCTCTTGTCGTTCTCGTTCTCCTATGTGCAGCATCGAGAGCTAGGTTACGGTGACAAACGGCCATGGGATCAAAATCTGATGTGTCGAAGAAGGCTCGCTGTCCCCCACGTCCAGAATCCTCAGTACTGACGTCCACACGGGCTTCGTTAGATGTGTTCAAAGTCCTCCACTACTACTATTTTATTGGCCTCCATCCTCCCCTTACAGCCATACCATTGCCACCATTTTATTAACCTTAAAATTAAATATCCTAATACATAAGTACCTATCCTAGCCGTGTTGAGTTAGTTGAGCCGCAGATCTATTATTAGAGTATTATTATTATTATTATTATTATTATTATTATTATTATTATTATTATTATTATTATTATTATTATTATTATTATTATTATTATTATTATTATTATTATTATTTTTATTATTATTATTATTATTATTATTATTATTATTATTATTATTATTATTATCATTATCATTATCATTATCATTATTATTATTATTATTATTATTATTATTGTTATTATTATTATTATTATTATTATTATTATTATTATTATTATTATTATTATTATTATTATTATTATTATTATTATTATTATTATTATTATTATTATTATTATTATTATTATTATTATTATTATTATTATTATTATTATTATTATTATTATTATTATTATTATTATTATTATTATTATTATTATTATTATTATTATTATTATTATTATTATTATTGTTGTTGTTGTTTTGTTGTTGTTGTTGTTGTTATTATTATTATTATTATTATTATTATTATTATTATTATTATTATTATTATTATTATTATTATTATTATTATTATTATTATTATTATTATTATTATTATTATTATTATTATTATTATTATTATTATTATTATTATTACTATTATTATTATTATTATTATTATTATTATTATTATTATTATTATTATCATCCCGAAAGCTCTACGTTTTTTCTCGGCTAAGTCACACTGTCCACTAACAGCCCAGGAGGTTCCCAATACAGTAACGCCTCGATCATTTACACTCAACTTTAAACCTATTTTTAGTAAACGTTGTGATTGCTTCCTCTTTTTTACGTGAAACCCACAAAAGTCATCAAATCATTGAATATATAACAACACTGTGTTACTATTTTCAGTGACAATTTTGTGGGGGTGGGGGTTTTGGAGGTAAAGATGCCAGAATTAATTTTATCATTTCTTTATCTTAGTTACTCTAAAGATATATTGATAACCGGAAATGTATGTATGTAGGCTATGTGTGTATGTATGTGGGAATATATACAGTATACTTTGATAGGTACTGGTTGGTGGTGGTAGAGGTGGTGGTGGTGGTGGTGGTGGTGAGCTGGGGGGAAGATGGTGGTGGTATAGAGGTGGGGTGGTAATGGTGGTGGTATTACGTTGGTGGCAGTGGTGCTGGTTTTCTGTTGAACTAGTCGACTCTACACACACACACACACACACACACACACACTCAAACAGCACCTTTTGTCTGTTTTAAATACGACAACTCAACTCACACACACTGGAGAGAAAAGAATAATGATAAAAAACAATTGGTCTTCGCATATTCATATATTTTTAGGATGAGAAAAGAAAAATTGACAAAAACACGACAACAATATTATTAGGCCCCGGGAAGACGGCTCATTAGATGAAGGTAATTAGCCTGGTCGTGGCCCCCTTTGTTTTCCAGTCTCAGGTTCATAAACAAACCTCATTGGCACTCCCACAGCTCTACTCCTGTCGTGGCTATACCGGTATATGCTTTATTATAAGGTGTTGGACGTGGTATAGTACGGCGGGATACCTGATCATGTCTAGTGGGTGGTTATGGATGGTTCTCCTCCCATAGTGAGTGGTGATGGATGGTTCCCCTCCTGTAGTGAGAGTGGTGATGGTGGTTCTCCTCCTGTATGAGTGGTGATGGATGGTTCTCTATCACCTGTAGTAGTGGTGATGGATGGTTCTCCTCCTGTGTGAGTGGTGATGGATGGTTCTCCTCTCCTGCTTGGCAGTGGTGATGGATGGTTCCTCCTGTAGTGAGAGTGGTGATGGATGGTCTCCTCCACTGGCCAGTGAGTGGTGATGGATGGTTCTCCTCTGTATTGAAGTGGTGATGGATGGTTCCCCTCCTGTAGTGAGTGGTGATGGATGGTTCTCCTCCTGTAGTAGTGGTGATGGATGGTTCTCCTCCTGCTGTGGTAGTGGTGATGGATGGTTCTCTCTCCTCACTTAGTGAGGTGGTGATGGATGGTCCTCCTCCTGTAGTGAGTGGTGATGAATGGTTTCCCCTCCTGTAGTGAGTGGTGATGGATGGTTTCACACCTCCTGTAGTAGTGGTGATGGATGGTTCTTTTCCTCCTGTAGTGAGTGTTGATGGATGGTTCCCTCTTGTAGTAGTGGTGATGGATGGTTCCCCTCCTGTAGTGAGTATTAATGAATGGTCCTCCTCCTGTAGTGATGGTGATGGATGGTTCTCCTCTGTAGTAGTGGTGATAGATGGTTCTCCTCCTGTAGTGAGTGGTAATGGATATTCAGGTTCCCTCCTGTAGTAGTGGTGATAGATGGTTCTCCTCCTGTAGTAGTGGTGATGAGATAGTTCTCCTCCTGTAGTAGTGGTGATAGTGGTTCTCCTCTCCTGTGAGTGGTAATGGATGGTTTCCCTCACCCTTGGTAGTGGTGATAGATGGTTCTCCTCCTGTGGTGGTGGTGATGGATGGTTCTCCTCCTGTAGTGGTGGTGATAGATGGTTTCTCCTCCTGTAGTAGTGGTGATGGATGGTTCTCCTCCTGTGGTAGTGGTGATGGATGGTTCCTCCTGTAGTGAGTGGTGATAGATGGTTCTCCTCCTGTAGTGAGTGGTGATGGATAGTTCTCCTCCTGTAGAAGTAGTGGTGATGATGGATTTCTCCTCCTGTAGTGGTGGTGATGGATGGTTCCTCCTGTGGCTGAGTAGTGATAGATGGTTCTCCTCCTGCGGTGAGAGTGATGGATGGTTCTCCTCCTGTAGTAGTGGTGATGGATGGTTTCCATCTACATGGTATGATGTTGATAGATGGTTCTCCTCCTGTGGTGAGTGGTGATGGATAGTTCTCCTCCTGTGGTGAGTGAGCGATGGATGGTTCCTCCTGTGGTAGTGGTGATAGATGGTTCCCTCCTGTAATGAGAGTGGTGATGGATGGTTCCTCCTCCTGTGGTGAGTGGTTATGGATGGTTCTTCCTCCTGTGTAGTGAGTGGTAATGGATGGTTCCCTCCTGTAGTAGTGGTGATAGATGGTTCTCCTCCTGCTGGTGTTGATGGATAGTTCTCCTCCTGTGGTGAGTGGTGATAGATGGTTCCTCCTGTAGTGAGTGGTGATGGATGGTCCTCCTCCTGTAGTAGTGGTGATAGATGGTTCTCCTCCTGTAGTGAGTGGTGATGGATGGTTCCTCCTGTAGTGAGTGGTGATGGATGGTTCTCCTCCTGTGGTAGTGGTG